TTTTTGGAAAGTTCTCGAGGCGTGCTATAAGAACATGTAATGAAAAATTGGGGGTTCCATTTAAAAAATTCAAAGTGATCTTGTCTTGACCATGACGACGCCACTCAGGGTCAAACCAATATTATCATCTTCTGTCCCTCTTGAAACCCTACAACTTTTGTCTGAAAAATTTTTCTCTCCCGGGCTTGATTTTCGAGATATTCGACTGGATGGATTAAAATAATCCACCCTGTATATATACACATATACATACGTGTACTTATATAGTTCTCCATTTATACCTGGGTACGAACTCATCGTGCACATCACAAGTACGTCGACACAGATCTGGATCCACATAACAGCCGACGTGGCTTTTTCCATTGCCATATGGGATGGACGATAAGAAGATACGATCCTGAAGTCATTCAAAAATTATACGAGGTCGACATGCGGGACATTATGGCGGATCCAATCCTCGCTTTCCACAAACAGTTAATGCAATGCAATTATACACAGTTTACGTCACACACTTATTTATATTCTGTCAGCGCGATTTTTAGTAGATCGATCCACACAATGTATGTATTAATACGGTAAATTCTTAACAGGTACGTTGTGTTGATAAACTTGATATTGTCCTTCATTTTGCCCACGCTGATACCAGTTTACTTCTGGGACGAGACGTGGGACAGATCCTTCGTTTCGCAAGTAGCCCGGTCGTTACTCCTGCTACACGCGACCTTTTCCATAAACAGCTTCGCTCACAAGTGGGGTGCCAGGCCATATAACAAGTGAGTTCTTTCGGGATGGATTTATTGGAATATACTCTATGTCACTGATACGTTTAGAGCACAGAAATAATTTTTCTAGCAGATCTTTAAATGTAAAACCGAATAATTGTGCTCGCAAATTTTTTTTGAAAAAAGCTCAAGATATTTTGTCGTAAAATATTTTTCAATTAATCCGACACGATATTTAGTAGATAAAATCTATTCCCATTTATTATCATAATTCTGTCCTGGTTTCCAGAAATATACTGCC